TCTTTCCCTCTTGAATCTCAATTTGCCTGTGTATCGAATAGCTACAGTTCAAACTACTGTTTGGAGGCTTAATTAAACCAGAAGGAAGACACATATGTAAGAGTCTAAAAGTTACTAAAACCTGCGGGTCTTATTCAGAACCACTGATGAATTCTTTAAGTGAATTGCATTTTTCATCTAAGATAGCCACTGCTCTACAAACCTTAAAATCCAAACAGATGACCTGGAAGGAGAAAATGAAGAGGCCTTTTTCAGCTGGTTGTTGAAGAGCAGACAAATCTCCTGCATGTGGCCACTCCTGAAGTTACCAATGATCGTGCTTTGGCCAAACTGCAGTGCCCGTAAGACAAGCCGTCACCAGCAGGCAGATCTGCTTACCAGCCCTGCTGCACTGAAGGTAAGGCCCATCACAGCCTGTGGCTGCGGCAGCAGCAGCGAGAGCTCTGTTCCAGCTCTAAGTGCCAGCTGGCTGGAGGAACACCAGGCTCCGGTTCTGAGGCAGGAACCTTCCAAGACACGACACAGATTTTGGGGTATGTTTTACCACAGCTTGGCATCTGGAACTTCAGAATCACCATAAAACCAGAAGGCTACCGCACAGTTTGGCGTAGCTGTACGCTGGCACTGGTGTTACTGCAACGCTGAAGATGCAGCTGTCTCCAGCTAGCTGGAGAACTGGTAGCAGGGCTACTGATGTAGCATACGACGTAGCTCTCCACCTCCTCGCAGATGAATTTAGCTTCCTCAGGAGGCGACCCTGAGCCTCTGTAATAATTTTACTATGAGAAGTTCTCGAGATGATAACTAGTTTAGTGCTCTGCCCCCCCAAGCATCTGTGACAGCAGTGAGTTGTTGCAGAATGACAGGCTTCCACCAAAAGCAGCCTGCCTTCCTATATCAGAGGCTCATCAGAGGCAATGAGAAACAAGCGGAGCTTTCATTTCGTTTTAGAAAGCTCGTCACAAAATCGGCTTCCCACACTGGCTCTGTGCACGTCTGCGTTTAGAAGAGCAGCGGCACATATTCAGGATTTAAAATCCTGGATTTTAATCACATGGAATCTGAGCTTAGTGTGGGGGAAAGAAATACGTTAGCTGGGGTTATGGCCTAACCCGCTGGATGCTGCTTCCCGCTTAAAGCCAAAAGAAGGCATTACCATATCCGGCCCTCCGCGCAGCAAGCGCAGCCCTTCACCCACGGACTCGTGTGCCAGGCCCAGTAACTTGGTGCAGTGGGAGCGGAACTGTTGGATAGTCATCAACCTTGATTAAAAACACTTGGACCTGTGGATAATTTTCTACCTCCCTTGGTACTTTATTTCTGTGATTAATTACTCTCATTATTAAAACTTGCAACTTTATTTTAATTGAAAAGAGAGGAAAGAGTAAAATCAGACATTCAAGCATTCCTCCTTCTGGCACTTCAAGCATTAGAGTTTAGATCTTATGTTATTGCTGTGTTCTTATCCTTGGCTTCACGAGGGACCAAAGAAACTATGGAAGATACAGCTCCCATGTGAACTAAGACAAATGATCTTGAATACCCAAATAGAAAAAAAAAATAAATAAAAATCAGCTTTCTAAAGAAACATGATTTGGCAGTGCTTAGATGTAGTCATTTATTTCTCCAAAGACAAGCTGCCAATTTGGAGTACACCAGTCATCTCTGCTTGTACACAGTGGACTACTAATTTTATTTCCTGACACTGAATCTGCTCCTAGAAAAACTGACTGGAGCCTACTGCTCAGCAGAAGGGCATTGCCGTGTCCTGCAGCAAGGCTCTGAGAACCCTGCAGCTCTACGGAAATTAAGGCCTCCGTTTGTTGTGCTGTTGGAATCCACAGCTTGTGCAGAAATCGAAGAGCTTTGGAAGATGAATGTGAACAGAAAATGCTAATAACTTTCTATGCTCCTCCTCGCTCCATGAAACAGCTTCTACGATAAAAGCTCTTCAGTAATGTATTATTGTACCCAGGAGCTCCTGATCTTTCAACTCTACTGCAATTTCTGCTTCTAAATAGCTGGTTTCGCTGAGAATTCCCAAGCCATTCCTACATGAAGATTGATGCAAAAAGACGGAGGGGTTGGCCCTGAGAATACACACTGACAAACCCCTGTGAGCAGTACCTCATAAGCTGGTCTACGCCACCGTCACCCAGAAACCAGGTATGAGCAGCAGCCGATGATGGGAACACGCTGCTGGGCGTGAAGCAGCCACGCACCTGCCTGAAGAGCCGGGCAAGGAGGCAGCGCCTGCCCCGCGCTCCAGGCACCGGAGCCTTAGCGGCTCTGATGCCAGCTGGCTGAGCTGCTGCAGCCGTGGCCGCGTAAAGCCTGCAGGAATAAACAGGCTTGCGTTCGTAATTTTTTTTTAGATAAAAGACTATCCTAAGAGTACGTCATCCACCACCCAAACGAGTAAGATTTGCGTATCGCCTTGTACGTGGTGCCCTACTTACGTGCCTAATTTAGGAAAGCTGGTGCTAAGGAGGTGGTGTACCAGCAAATCACAATTCTCCAGCCGTCCATTTTGCGTGAGTACCAGCAGCTATACAAAGTGGGACTTAAAAGAAGTAACGCCCTTTCTCTCATGCAAGTAATTTTATGTTTCTACAGAAATTTCTTGTAAAGTTTTGCTATCATCCCCTGTGTGGCTGGGTAGACCTGTGCCACAGCGTCTCCGGAGAATAAAGAGTACGACATGCTACTTTGTCACACAGTAAAATGCTTTTGCATGTCATTCATACGTTTCTCCCCCATCAAATATTGTTTGGTTCCGGAACCTACGCACTAAGGTCGCACTTTAGTAAGTAGATTTTGCATTAAATAAAGAGGAAGAAGGGAAGAAACCGTAAAAAAAAAAATATTGGTCACATTTTAACTTGCCTTCCGAGATTTTCTTTTATTCAAATCAATAGTGACTTGGTGCAGTACTGCATTTGTTTTGACAGACCGTAACAAAAAGATTGTCTGGATTTTGTCATGCTTGGATTCGGTGTATGTCACTGACTTCACTCTCTAAAAGGTATTTTACCAGTGCACTTGCGGAACTGCATTTAAAGGAAGCTGTCACGGGCTAAAAGGTAAGTGTACGCCTTAAGTTCAGAGACTGTCTCAGCTTCTGAAACAAAGAGCAGACTTTTACTTTACAGCGGTTTATTAATCAGCATATCAAAATAATTAAATGTATTGAAATGCAAATTCAAGCTCTGAGCAGGCTCTATGAAATTAGAGGGAGAAAAAAAAAAAGGAAGTTTTGCTACAAGTCCTGTAAATGTTATTTTACAAGCCTGGTAACACCGAATGAATTCAGGGCGAGATCTTTCTCTTTAAAAAGTCAAAGAAATCCAGCAATACTGAGGTAAAATTCTGAGAAACTCTTAGCTCCTCCCTTGCAACCCGCCAAAATGGAGGATTAAGACAGATTCTGCTTGCTCTAGGTTTGTAGAGCCCTTTGCATACACGCATCTACGCGCTCGGAACTCAGTGCCTCAGCTGCACAGCTCCAATCACCAAACTGGGGGCATTAAAAATATTTGTAATTCTGTAGATCAAAAAACTAATGTAATAATTATGCAAAAAAGACTTTAAATCTCCAGCAAAGACATGGTACACAGTGAAGCTTATTGACTTAAAGGAAAATAACCACTTCAAAGCACTGCCCTCCTTTCTTTGAAAACTCAGCAGTTCCCTCCTGGCACTGCCCTTCCCTTTGACAAATAGCTGTCATCATTTTGCTGGAAGCTCAAATGAACTCAACTGTTTCTGTTTAGCAGGACTGTCATGTTTATAGCATCAAAGCATCTTGGATACGGTTCCCAAAAATCACCTTCCCACGAGCAGCCGTAGCATGATGCGCACTTGTTCCTCCACGGTAAAACCGCCTGGGGCAGCCTGACGTCATGGTTAACCTGATGACTGTCAGGGTTAAGCGGGCCGTTAGAAGCAGCGCCCCTTTCATTTTGATTCCTCCCCGGTACCAGGGGAAACGGCACCCCCAGCGCACACGGCCTGCGACAAAGCAAGGAACAGCTGACGTAACTTTTCTCATACCTCTCCAGCCTCTTTCCTCCCATTTTCACACCAGGATCTGAAAGCAAAGATAGCGTCCGTCTGCCCTGGAGTTCAATCTGTTGCAGAAAGAAATTGGTCTGTTACGTTACGGTATAATCTGGACTCTCATTTATTTTCTATGAGCAGTAACTGGATCTTCACAAACCCCAAATTTATATCTTAGTCAAAATCACTAGCTCCTAGCCAGCGCAACGGTTCTAACGTTCTTGTATTCCATGTTGAAGTTTCCAGGTTACTGTGTTTGTAACAGGCAAACATAAAATTTAATGTTATACTGACCATATAATCACATCATTTATTCGACATGTAAGTTCATTACTTACCCTACCTAGGAAATATTGCTTGGTACTAAAGCAATTTTGATGAAAATTGTAAAACCCAAATTGAAATGTCCATTCAAGTTATTTTTTTTTAGAAGTGCATAGTATGCAAATATGTCACAGCTTGATTTCACAAACAGGTGGTCTTGGTGCCAAAGTTAAATTATTCGCTTTACAAATTGGAAAGAAAGAGAATTACTGTTTTTATAGAGGGCAAAGTTTGTAGACATAAATAATGTCTCCTAACATCAAAGCTGACTAGAGAAAGCCTGCAAGTGGCACTCAATGCAAATTTCCTTCTTTGAAGGAACTCTGAATGTGACTTTTTTCCTTCTTTGAAGGTACTCGGAATGTAATTTTGCCTTCATTATTTCGCTAGCTCTAGGAAGACTGACTTTGAATGCGTACAAGGGGAGCAGCCTGGATAGATTCAGTCACTGATCAGTGTGGAGGAGTAAGGTACAATAAGCTCGCTCTGTTTGGACTGAAGGAACAGGAAAGGTGTTTCAGGTTGGCACAAAACCAGCCTCATTTATGAGAAGGTACCTCGCATCGAACCTAGCCTACCACCGTTCTGGCAGCTCACTGCATTTCACCCGGACAGAACACGAACCACCTCCTTATGCAAGGCTTCTCCATTTTCAATGCTACAGAGCGTGCATAAATTCGCACGGTAGTATCATACCTTGCCTTGTGTTCAAAAAGAGTAGAATCAGGTACTGTACTGCGATGAACTCATACCTTCTCCACTGAGGATTCTGAATCTTAAGCAGATGCTTACGGAAGAGAAATATAACCTTCCACAGGCCTCCTTTGCACGTACCAGGTTTGATAGTTTGTGCCAAATACCAAAACACCATGCTTGCCAAAAGCGGCAAGAGAAAACAAAATGTTACCGATTGCTACGTGACACACGAAAACATCCTTATGAGTGAATAGCGACACAATTCATCTTTTAATGGCCTTGTACATCAAAAGCATATTAAGGCTTCTAAAGCAAGTTCCACCTTAAAAACACAATAGCAGAAGGTCACTGGATTCCAAACATTCTTTATTTTATATTTGCTGCCATAGAAAGTACTCAAACAGCACTGCCATCATTGTTATTGGGAAAAAAAGAACGTGGTTTTTCTTCTCCCAAAGATGTGATGTACATTAAGAAGTCAGTCCAAAATCCTGATGTTAAGTACAAAAAGCAACTGTTTGAATTATAAAATACTGTATATACAGACATAAAAAGGTTTCAGAAAGTGTTCTGCAAAGTTTCTAAACTTCCAAGGGCAAATCCTCAGCAGGGTAAATAGGTGGTTGTCTTCAAAGGTGAGCATCAGTTCGTTTGAGCAGAATGTCTGAATCTTTATCTTCCTATATTACAGGTGACATCGACTTTGATTTTCGTCCCAGCCAGGGATAACACGATGGTCCTAGTGATGAAGGTGTTTTTTTTCTGTAGCTATTTATTTAACAAGCACACGTTCTCTATATAAAAATGAAATTTCAAAGAAATTTATACAACAGCTAGACTTTATAAAAATATAGATCTATAATTTTACACCAGGAATTATCCAAGGTAAGTTTCCATTTTCTTATGCCTTAACCATTAGAAATGAATTTTTATCCTTTGGAGTCTTATCTATGGCTAGAGTGTAAATTAAAATCATGTGAAGTTATTAGCTGGTGAAACGAGTTTCAGGAATCTCATTCTGTGGGGTTTTTCGGCCAAAGCTCATAAACCGCTGCATTCTGCAGTGCTCATCTTGGGGTACTGGACATATTACACAGTACATATCTACTTATTCCAGAATCTTGACCTAATTCAGTGTTAAAAACCGAATAAAAAAATGTCCCCATTGTCCTTACTGTTGGAAAAAACCAAACCCAAATAAATAAAATTAGACAATATTTCTGTTTTGCTGTACTGTGTCAACTCTTTACTGTGTAGTGGAGGCAATAATGAATACAGCCATGTGATGAAGGAATGTAAAACTGGATACATACTGGGAAAAAAACCAGACTTTTACAGCTGTGTGTATATATTTTATATATATATCTATATATATCTACATTGCAGTTATAACTGTCATTCCTGTTAACAGAAAGCAAACAAAAAAGGAGGGAGTTGCTCTGAACTCTACTGTCTTCACATCAGCAAAACCAAACCCTTTTATTTTGAAAGATCTCCAAGACCCAAAGTAGTCTGGAGTTAGTGATGAGCTGAAGATAATTCTGATTCATCCAGAATGTTATTCCAATGGTAATACTCATTAACCTTCATTACATTTAAGCCAAAAGGAATGCTGCTTGACCATTTGCCTAAAGTTGGTAAAAGTAGCTAAAGCAAATCCACCTTTTTACTTACAAATCGAATAAATCTGAAACTGAGATTGCTTTCAGGTGATCTGGAACTTCACAAGACAGTTTGCAAAAAAGTTAGCGTTCAGGAAACAAGCCTAGGTCAAGAAATAGATTTACCTAAGTACTTACCACCTGTTTTCAACACCACAGCCATGACTTCATTTACTTTTAAGGATAGCAAGGTCAAGTACAAGTTCCCTCACACGGCAGTGGAAGAAAAAAGGCTTATTTACGCTTCCACAAAAAAAAAAATTCCACCTAACTTATGCAACTAGGAGGTGAAATGCTGCATGTCAGAAAAGCAGCGGAACAGTCCCTGTCATTGTCGCAGAGCGCACTGTCCGAAACAGGAAGGAACTGTCTCGGAACAAAGCAGGATGAATTACAGAAAGATGTTTTTCCTCAAACAGCTGAAGCCAAATGACAATTCTGCCTGGCAGCACTACTTTGTCATTCATTATCATGGAGACAATAATTAACAGAAGCACATTATGATGAAAAGCTCAGGAAAGGCTAAATCAATGAGGTGTTAAACAGTGCTTTCACAGTGGTTAGAAAACAAGGCTGGTTCCTAAAGGTATTTATGGATTCCCTCCCTTACTCACGCATGTTTCCACAGCCCTCTTTGCTCCAATACCTAACTGCTTATAGATCTTCAAGAGATTCCATTTGCAACCCCAAATATACAGCTTGCTCGGTAACAAAGTGAACTTCCCCTGTAGCCTGGAGGGGTGCTAGTCTATCAGTGAAAAAAGAATTTCCAGAATCAAATTCAGAGTCCGAGACTCATGTGGAGATAACCACCACGAGACATCGTGAACACGGTGTGATAATCAGCGTATTAGGAACTCTTGTGCAGATATCAATGCAAATGTCAAGCCAAAATGGGTCACTGAACACTTGCCAGTTTATATTAGCAAAAATGTTCTTACCTCTTTAAATTCTTTCACTGTTTTAAAGTAAAGCCTCTGTTTCTCTAGAAGCTCTAAGTATTCATCGTTCAACTGGTCTCTTCGCATTTTGTTTTCTTGCTTCTTCTTTTCCATCTGTTGGTAAACAGGAAGGATAAGAGATCATATACTGTATAAGGAATACACACACACGTATATACTGTATAAGGAACAACTATCTATAATTGAAAATGGGAGGCAGATGCTTCATAAATTACACCCCTGGCTCGTGCTTTAAATGCAACGAAAATTTAGGCCAGCTCTTAAAAAAACCTGAAAGGCTAATGCTGAAGTCTCGGTACCAGTGGCGCTATAGGTAGCATTCAGAATTAAACTAAGGCTCACACCTCTGCAAGCCAGGAATCGCTCACTGAACAATCCTACCTCAACGATGACACAGTGAAATTATTTAAACAGAAAAACCAAAATGAAACAACAACAAAGTTTTTTGATGCAACACTGAGATCTGGATTTGATTGTTCATGTTAGTTGTATCAAACAGGGAGGGGGGCAGGAGACCTCTTTACCTTCCCGTGCAATGCTGTACTTGCTCAAGACCCACACACAAGCAATCTCTTTTCTCCTTGTGCCAAAGTTGTGACAAACATAACTTAAGTCCCTAAATGTGAAGGGGGTTGGTTCTTACTATAGAACAGAGTGCCGTCCTCTCAGGGGTAGTTCTAATGAAGTTCTTCCATCACAGCATCACAGATGAGTTTGCTGCTAGTCTAGAGAGTCAATTTTCCCTCCCTCCCTCCGCTGCTAGGGCACAACCACATTAAAAAAGCCCTGGTGCGTTCCTCTCCCCAAAAATTATTTTTGCATTTTCTCTGACAGGCTTTCCTCTCCTAAATTTTAATTCCAAAAAAACTGCAAGAATCCCCTAAAGCCCAAACAAGCAGGTCATTCCACAGCAGAACTTGCTGCATTTCTAGATTTATGCATCAGCATTGATCTTCTTGATTCTTATGCCTAAAAGAAACGAGCAGATCCCAAACCTTCCCTGAGTATGAACACTGCTAACAAGGTACGTCTCCTTTACAAAGCCAGCTGCTGTCCAAAACATCAGGGAATCTCTCCTGACATAACTTACCAGAGCCAGTAGGTTTTTAAAGTTATGCTTGAGGAAGAAAAAGCGTTAAATGTGTTAATACAGAAAAAAGCATTACTACATGTGTCCTGTTCCTTTAGGATGAGGCTAAAACCAGCACTGCTAAAACATCTAGGAACTAGATTCTTGCAAAGAGATAAGACCCTATTACTGTCCTTTGATAAATTGCTTCCTTTATGCATGACCATGACAAATCTCTCGACACACTCCTCTCAGTAGAAATTGGCCTGCTCTGTCCTCAGACAGTCTCATGAATATCTGTTATCACACTGAAATGCTTGTTCGCAAGTTACTCGTTCTTGGTGACAAGTATGTCTGATTTCTCCTTAGGCCTCTTTTACGATGCTGTTACAATATGATGGGCTTTGAAAACTGAAATTTCTCTTCAGGCAGAAGGTCTTCAGGGCTGTACAGAAAACAAAGTGGATGCACTTTAAGAGTGAATCGTGAGACTGACTGAGCACTTCTAATGCACTGCAGACAGAAGTCGAATAGATAAGACTAAACCATCACAGGGATGAACAACCCTTGCAGCGTACAACTAGCCCGTCTGTTGAAAAAGTCATCCAACAGACATTTCCTAAGTGAAGAACAAGAAAACTTTCTCTTTTGCGGCAGAGCTGTTCCCCAAGGAACCATGTGAATTGTTAAAACTTTCTTAGCATCCATTTGTTGTTAGTATCTTCACCGGCATTGAGAAATCAACTACGAGAAGGTACCAAATGATTATCTACTCCATCACTAACAATTTTTTTTCTCTCAGTTGAGATAAGCTTAGCTTTTTCATTCAGAAATTCTTGGATTTTTCCATTAGTTGTATCTGCCACCTCCTGCTGATCCAGACACCTGTGCTTAGGAATGAAATGTCACTTGTGAACTCTCTCACACTATGCCAGTGGCCAAACTGCCAGTGCAGAAATACAGCACAGGTGACGTGAGCTGCCACTGCATTCAGCAACCGTCAGAGATGCTGAAAGTATTCTCCCGAACTATCAGTCATCTGACATGATAGCTCCATGTACTTCCCTCTCCCTTATCTGTACGTGAAGCAGCTGGAAGTTTTGATTCCATTGGAAGAGATAGTAAGAGAGTCCAGGATGATTCTATGGACTTCAAAGATTTAACAGTTCAATTGCAAGAACCTGCAGTAAGTCACAGCAGAGCTCCGAGTCTGCTTTCACTCCTTGCATTTGCTGTGCCGTTACCCATTTCTGCGCACATAACGGAGGACAAGATAGAAAACAAAACACTGAACTCCTGGACAGTTTCAATTTGGGGCAGTTGCTTGTTGCAGCAATTAAAATAATGTCATTCTTCAAAAAAGAGAGAAATGTAATTATCTTCAAGCTCATCTTCACTAGACAGAATTGCACTCTTCTAAAGTATTTTCATAATCTGTTTGACACTGAGTCACTCATTATGTCAACAGCCTTCACGACAGAAAGATGACCCGTACACACAACCACCAATACCGCTATTCTTTCTGCTGTCATTTTGTCCTCTCTGAAAATAAGAAGTCATGCAAATGAAAATAACTCATTGCAAAAAAAGGCAATGAACTAGCCACCTATTCAAACACAGCAGTCGATAGTAAATATCATATATTTTTATAGTGGAGTTTATTAGTGCCAAAGAGCGTTGGTACAGCTTGAGTTCCACCCTGTTCTGTTTCGCTGTATACACATGCTTATCATATTTTACATTTGAAGTTTCTATTTAGCTACTGAGATAAAACAGCCCAGTACCCGGACAGACTGCATTTCCAGTACACATTCTAGTATATATTGATTTATAGTCTACCATACGTCCATTTAAACTCAAATAAAGAACAGCTATAATCCACTACCAACAATTTTCTGGCTCTATAGAGAAAAGAATCTCAAAGCCCCTTTATGGGACTTAGGAAAATATGAGTATGTTCACGTATGAAAATAAAGGAGTAAACCAACACAATAGCTACAAGTTAGTAACTACCATTATCAACAGGGATAGGCTTAAGTACTTCTTGTACGCAAATATGCCTGTGGACAGCTATGGAGCACTGCCGGACCTCATGCTTGCATTGCCCCAAGACCACTTCACACAAGTCCACTGAGGCTGTGCTTTTACAAAACAGCCCTCAAATGTTACCAGCAGCAGTTTTGTCTTCTCTGAACGAGCACTAGGGCTCTGCTCACCCACAAACCCCCTTCACTTGCTATGTGGACACAACGCACTCATCAGCAGTGCTGAGTCTCTTCTAAATCAGGTTAAAAACAACAAAAAGAACAAAAATCCACCCGCGTGGATTCAGCAAGGGGTCAGACGAGCGCTGCAACTGGGACAAGGGAAGCTGATGGCTGGGGCTCTGTGAGGTACTGCTGACCCTCTTCAGCAGCAGAAAGCAGCTTCAGTCAGCTCCAGCTGCCTGAAAAACTGTGCCCCAGACGGAGGTCTGACTGCGCCCACGCCATCCAAACAGAAGAATTCTCACTGACTTCAGTAACAGCTGTTTCAAGCATCCACATCACTACACCGCCAATAACGAAGTTAAGGGGTGTAAGCTTCCCGTCCGGAGAGAAGCGTTATAAAACCTCTATCCTACTCTATTCCTTAACATTTCAGTGGTGAGCAGTTTCTTATGGATGTGAAAATAAGTAATACTTGTCAGTTGCTTGCTTAATTTGCACCTCACATAATGGCCTTCTCCATGCACAGTTATTATCCAAGAGGCTTTTCTGAAATAATTCCCAGGTTCTAGCAAAGAAAGCGAGAAGAGTCTCAGACCTTCATCCGATTCTGTTTGATGCCTTCTACAATCTGCTCCATCTGCCGTAGAAACTGCTCACGAGAACCAGAAGATGCCATTGCTCTGGAAAGAAAAAAGAGATAACAACTGACAGGGATGTAGGACAACGTGTCTCATCTACAGTTGTCTTGCATATTTACCCGTGTCCAAGAATTCACATTGCTTAGTGTTCTGTGTAAAAATTCATCTTTTTAGTTACTGATTTCAGGCAGCAGTGCAGCTCTTCAGCTAGTATAAGCTATCAGAGATGGGAACAGAGACTACAGAGCTCATCACAAGCGTTCTCCGTGTCGGTTCAAGTCTGTTCCCCTCTCTCATGTGTTGTACAGAAATAAATTGCTATTAACTAACCAAAAGCACAAACGTTTAAGAAAAGCAGCTGTTGTGAATATGAAGAAGGCAAGTAGAGGACTAGTAGATCAACAAATATTCTAAAAAATAATTTCATGCCCTAATAGGGAAAGCCCAGAAGCAGTTTTAGACTTGTAACGCTTCTTAAACAGATTAAGAAAAATAAAACAAAGAAAATACAACCCCGCACACCCATCCAACAAAAAACCAATCAAAGACCCAGCTGTCCATGACAGCGTTGGTATCTACTGACTGAAGAGAATCAAAAGGATCTCATCACTGAGCAAAACAGATCTACAATCCCTGCTGCAAAGGAAAACACCTAAAATACTTAATTCCTGGGTTTTGTTGTAATTAAAAGTTTTGGATATCACAATAGGAAAAAATAATTTTTAGAAAAATCAAAATCTCTGACCAAACACAGAAGGACAGAAGTGTATTGAAGTAAGTAAAGAGATCATTAATTACGCTGGAAAAAAAGAGAAGCTTCTAATTTCACAACAGAATTATAAAAAGATACAATAGGAAGAATTGTTTAAAACTATTAAACGGCCATCTCCTCCCCCATGACTCTACTGAATTGTACTGTTGTGACAAAAATTCATACTGGACTTTTTTTTGTGAAGTCAAAAAACCACAGAAAAAAAAAATAAATACCGGCTGCATCATAGACTGATATTTGACCTTGAACTTGCAAGGGAACCATGATTTTACCTAAAGACTTCACACTTCATCAAAACCTTTAAATACAGAGTTAGTCTCTAATAAACATGTCTGAAATATGTCCAAGTCTAATGTTTTGTACATAATGTATTAACCACAACTTCACAAAACAGAGAAAAATATTTAAATTAATGCCAGGAAAATTATGACTGAATGATTTCATTCCACAGCTGCAACTTAAGAGGGAGATATTAAAAACATATGTTGGCTATAAAAGTTCGGTAATTCCAAGTCTTTCATTCCCCAAACATTGGCTTAAACAGAATTAATAAACTATTTTATAAAATAGTTTACATTAATTAAAAATTCTAACAATTTTTTTAGACTCTATAACTCAGGCCTGCTCCCAGTTTTCAAACCAAGCATGCTACTCATTTCAACTATCAAGAGAAAAATGACTATTACTTACTGATGAAAGTTGTCATGAATAGAATTCAGTAAGTTAACCTGGGGGGGGGGGGGGGGGGGAAAAAAAAAAAAAAAAGAAATTATCAATCAATCATAGAATCATAGAATCCCAGGTTGGAAGGGACCTCAAGGATCACCTGGTCCAACCTTTCTAGCCAAGAGCACAGTCTAGATGAGACGGCCCACCACCAAATGATACATTTGTCCTTTCTGGTATGAGTTTTCACAGACAATAAAATGAAATTCAAGTTAAAAAATTGACTATATAGATGTTGCCCTGACAAGCAGTCAGCTACATGAAAATCACCACGAGCTTCTTTTGGAAGAGAAACCACAATCCCTCTTTATTAAAAAAATCGATCCCAGTGGGAAAGCCACAGAAAGCAGAAGCAAGTCTTGGACCACAATTGCAATTTTTTATTTTACTGATGCCCAATTATACCACTGAGAACTTTCCGGCGTCATGACTTTCCAAACTAAAGCAATGAAGTAAAATGGTGTTTACATCTGTTCAACATGCGTTGAAACTTGACATACAAGTAACTTACAGGTACTCATCCAGTGTTCAACAGTGACAGCACACAAGCATACGCTGTGGCTATGTTAGGTTAACATAGTCAGTCTTACTTGTAGTGATAAAGCAGAACAGTTTCACTTAGGCATATCCCTGACTACGCTTACAAGCCAGGCAGGATAGCAAATGAAGAAATATCTTTCAAAAAAACCCCACCAAGCAAAAACAAAAAACCCAAGCAATAACTCCCCACCGCCCAAACAAAAGAAACCCAGGCTGTATTAACAGTACTGAAGATGCTGGCTTTGAAGCGGTTACCAGCACAGCTCTGTCAAGAAGCTGCAACTTAGCTTAAAAAAAAACCTCCCCAAACAAAAGAAAGACCCCCCCACTTTTGCTTCTGAGACTGGAACCAGTATCTCCACACAATACTGCCAAGACTCACACCAAGCAGTGCAGGAACAGCAGGTGAATTTCTGCACTGCTTTCATTGTGCAGATGAGTTTTACAGGGTTCCAAACAGCCGTGCATCGTGACTCGCTTTGCCTACCTGTATTTTACAGGCTGTTAAAAGATGAACTTCTAAAAAGTACAGAAGTGGCATTTCACATGCATGGCTTCTATTATAAGATACTAACATTGCACTGAATCAAGACAGAAATGGAAATTTATAACATCACAGCAATATTTTGTTGCTCTTGGTATAAACTCCCCCAACTAATTAAACTATAAATTGAATATTTTCTGTGTAACCACCTTTGATTTTTTTTCTTGCTTTCTACATATTGCTGAGAGCACTAAAATTCACCAACTAGCAATTAATGTGATTCTCTCTCTCGGCTTTGAATACTTCTTGCAAATCTCCTCTGGTTAAACCTTCCAAACAGCGTCTCCTTTTGATGAGTATTTAAAAGTGTTCTGTACCAAACAAACCTAAGCGTTGCAAAGAGAATCGCTTTCCCGCTGCTATGGAAAGTTAAACTGATCTCTCCCAAACCCAAAATCTTCCATCTGAATGAGACGGTGAATCTGCACTTGTTCCTGACCTTACTTTGAACAGTTAAACGAATTCTGAACAGACTCCAAAGCAGCTAAGATGTTGAAGAACTCCTGTTACTTAGAGGAAAGAAATTATTGCATGACTCATCAATATTTGCCAAGTCCACATCCTTGCCTCGAGATATTTCCAATACGCACATGTTTAAGAATGTCATTAGTTTATACCGCAAAACATTCAAGTCATGAGAAGTAGCACTGCACAACTATTGCATAGTAAGAGTGCTGATGTGTTACGTTACAGACAGTAAAATCAGTGTATAAACCCCAAAAATCAAAGACATTATGAAAAAATGAGTTTAAAAGCATTTTAACGACTCTTTCACAAAATATGATTAAAGTATCAACCATATTCACAGAGACCTTTCATGTCAGAGCTATAACCTTTATAGCAAAATTCCACTGTATAACAACTCTTGCTATCATTATTTTAAAGCAATTATGCTCAGCGGATTTTATGAAAGGGTTGGTTTTGGGGGGAGGGGAAAAAAAAGGGGGGGGGCTAGAAAAAGCACAAGCATATTCCAGAAATCTTTGTGAGGCACAGATGCCAAAGGCATCTTTTGTACATTCCTAGATAATATTTATTTGCTGAAACCTTGGTTCTAATATTAAAAGCAACACAAGGAAACCTCAACTATATTATACATTTAACAAAGATAAGACTGCATCAGAAGACATTCAGGCCTCTCTCTGTTGTGATTGACATGAAGATAAAAGAAACCCTTGAACAATTTATTTGCCTTTTGAAATTATATCCATGTAAGTGAAGCTTGGAACTAAAAAAAAAAAAAAACCAAACAACCAAACCCCCCAAAAAAGGCATTGAATTATATTGGCAAGAGTACTCCCCATTTATACAACAATGAAACACATCTGCTGCCTATTCTGTCAGCTGGTTTTTATGTGCCCATTTCAAAAACAATCTCTGTACGCTTTTTAAATTTGCAGGCTTGCCCTCAAAATAAATAAATCTGTATTAAACTCTAACCTAGGGGAGAAGTTACAGTAATATGAATTCTATAGCTGCTACTTAACATAGTATTTTAAATCTGGTATACTGTTATCTGCAACAGTGTCGTATTACGTCTTATGAATACATTTCACCATTTGGAATAAGAAAATAAAACCAATGAAAGACCACCGAAAAACAAAGCATGTGATAATCTTCTTACAGACTTCGGTAAGGCATTTGCCAGGAACACTGGCAGCCATTATGCCACCCGCTCTTGCGCGGGGATGCAGGTTTACAGCATCCTGTAATACATACATACAACCTGCATCCAGGGTTCCTGAATGTTCAGCATGTAACTGACATTACACGGTAGCATCACTGTTGGTTTGTAAGAAGTCGATGTTCGAAAAACTTTCAAGGAAAATTCGTAATGGTATTTTCAGGAGACGAAAAGGTAAGTTACACTGCTAATTCCAAGATAGTTTATTTGAGGATCTTAGGGACCATCACCTAGAATAATTTTTAGAAACAGCTAAACTGAAACCTCTCCCAGAAATTCGGTATTTCTAGAGCACATGACAATCTTCACCACAGGTTAAACTTTGGTAAGATCCTGCTTTGTACTGATCGCTGACCTAACTCAAAACAGATATACACACACCAATAAAAAAGCCGTAAGGCTCAATTTCGCACAGAATTTAAGATTTTTTTACATATATTATTCACATGCATTGTTAAATCACCTAGTCACAGAAGTTACTTTTGAATTTATTGTGACGCAACTTGGATCCTGACATCATTCATAGAGCAGTATAATATTTTTCTGCAACAGAAAGGGCCAGATCTACCCTGACACTGCAGTCATGCCTTAAAATACTTCTATCAGGGTAAACTGGGGAAAGTTAAAGTTTAGAATGGTAGTGTGAAAACAGTATTCTGTTCGTTTGGGGTTTTTTTTCCATCATCTTGGCCTCCAGAAAATCTGTAAGGAAGCCCAGTTCTTGTACGTTTGCCAAAGGAAAAAGCTATTATGTCTCTGAGTAAGTCCTGCACAGAAGTAGAACATCGGTGAGCTTTGCAGCAGACTCACACGGTGCACTTCCTGAGGTTATCAAAACCAGAACAGGTAAACTGTACTCAGTTACTGTAGAACTAAGGAGGAGAATCGGGAAGGGATGAAGTTGTTTTTTTCCCCACAGTTAACACGCTCTTGTACGTGCCTAACATTACTCCAGCCTAAAGGGCTGCCGTTTGCCAAAAGTTCGCCCTGCTCCCCAACTACCCCTCCGCACAGTATTACCACAGGTACAGTACCTGCAGCATAGGTTAATTGTTAAAGAGGATTTCTGTATTTAAACCTATTCCTTCAGTTGTGTTTTGTGGCAAGCAACTGTTAGGATCACCGTCCGCTAAAGCAGCTACATAAATCAATGACTTCTCTGAATTGAAAAACTGAAAACTACCTAGCACAGGTATTAGAATCAGCTGCCTCATGGAAGGAAATGGTTGCTCATCATCTTCAAAACCAGGAAATAAAGTGTCTTTACATAGTCAGGAATTTGACTACTGCTTGTCTCATAAACTAAACAAATATGTCTAAGTAATAAAAAACTAACTAATCTGTTCTTATTTTATTAGAATAAACAGAGAAGCCTGAAGTATCAAAACATTATATATTTTAAAAGTAATGTCATAATTTTTATCAAGTCTTGACTGCTCGTATTTATCCACCTTTACTGAAGTCACATGCTTGTCATTGCAAAAAAGAAAACTGACATCACTCGATTAAGTTGTCCCCAGGAAAAAGCAAAACTCTGTAGAGTAGGGAGAGAAGGGAGGGAAAAAACCAAGTCGCTTTCATGAAGACTACTCTTCTGATCCTGATCCAGTACAATCAGCAGCAACTTCAGTGTAGGCAGGCTCAGACCCTGCGAACTAAGTCTGATGTTTCTGACAGCAGCTGGAATTTACCCTCCAAAGTTACTGACTGTGGCATTGGTTCATAATAAAAGATATTGACCAAAAAGAGAGAAAGAGGGTAATTTGGTCCTGGGATACCAAGACAGAGATATTTGCTAATCAAATGTTACTTATGTTTTGTGAACATAGTGAGTAGTTGAAACATGCTGTACTAATAGCGCTTCTTTTACAACCCAGACCATTTCCCCCTCAACATTAGAAACATTCTTATGAATCAAATGTTTCATTTTTAGTTACAAAGACTGTTAATTCTGCTCCGACACCACTGAATATGGTGAAAGTAAAGTAAAAAAAAACCTCTTTATCGCCTTCTCCACAGACTGAATATTTAGAAAACAGTAATAACATTTTCTTACCTCCTTTTCCAAATATACTTTCTTATCATCCAGTGTATTATAAAGAGTAAAGAACTGCTTCGTTTCTTTGTGAGTTGCTGAGACTGCAAACAAAAAAAGGGTAGAATAATAAAAGAGCATGAGGTGAAATGGAATCTGTAAAAATACTTCGTAGGCTTTATATAATAGACTTTCCACTATCAATAATGGAACACACTCTTTAATACATTCTGGAAGAATATTCCCTCTGCATGTAAATCTCCAGCAGGGTTTGCAGCTATCAGATTTTACGCGAACACCACAGCTTAGTGTTTAAATTAAGCCTCAACTGCTGACAATCCTTTATGTGAACATATGTTGGCACTATCAGCTGTGCTTCCTTGCCACTGTCTGTTCATCCTGCCTTCATAAGCTTTACCCTTACACCATACCGGTTGCTGTGCTGCTAACAGTCGCCCTCGCATAGCTTGCCCATGGTGGTAGAGACGCACAGGCTCAGCAGGGACAGATAAGAAACAGAGAATCTGATAGTACTGTCTGGAAAACAGTGCATTATACTATGTATTTCAAGCTACACATGTGCAAGGTGCCCAAGAAAGCTTTTACTATTTTAAAGCCTTTTTTTCCCCTCTTCTTACAATTTATTCATGCTGATAGGATTAAATAATACTTTCTTTTCAAATAATACTTTCTGGTTTAGGTGATTATAGCACATGTTGGTCATAGCTCAGTGGGGAAGGTAAGGGTCAGACATGCATTCCCTATGGATCATACATGATGATGACTGATACTCAAATCTGCTAAGTCTTCATCTATTCTTTAGTTTTTCAATGCCTAAGGAAACGTAAGGTATTTGTGATTCCCAAGGAAAGAGTTCAACAGAGAAGGACAGTTGGCAAAAATTATTATGGTTAATATATTAAGCACTGTCTAGAATCCTGAACCTGGAAAAAACATATGGGTTAAAAAAGATCAAATGATTTAATAATGAAAATTATTCTAGAGGTCACGGTTAAGCCAGATAAACCTGAGATAAATCATGCTCTGTACATTAAACTCTAAAGGCTAAAAAGTTGCCAGCTTTAACTAAAACCTTTACTGCACTGATGCGCCGGACTAAGCTTTTGAATGGAACCACTTACAGACAGCATGGCCTCCTTCCCGTGTCACAACATCATTAACCGTCCAAATTTTTAAAGAAAGCCCAACTCCTGATTT